AGTTTATAGCGAGGTATTCAAAGACTGCAACTTTGCTTGACTTTTTTTACTTTTAAGATAATTGAAAACTTTGTGTGTGTGAGTCGTGCTCGGTCAATGTTGTAGTGTGACCAAAACTGGGTCGATAGTGCCGTAAAACATCTACTCAAACAAACAAAAACATTATAGTGTTGTTATAATATTCTTTTTTTCTCATTCAGACCTTCTACTACATTTCAGTGTCACTTTTCAGTTGTTTCTAGTAAAGTGTGTTTGTTATCACACTCATAGATAAATGGACCTTTAACCCTAAAACAGAAGAAAATGATACCAACATAAAAATAAAAAAGTAAAGATAAATTATCGTTTACAACATAAAACACCTCTCTATGTTCCACTCAACATAACAAACATCTCTCTATGTTCCACTCAACATACGAATCATCTCTCTGTGTGCGTTTCCTCAGCTGGAGGCACGTGTGTTCCACTCGGCGGCACACGTGGGCAACACCATGGTGGTCATCGGAGGGCTGACCTACATGGGCAGCTACGGGAGAGACGTCCTGGTCTACGTCTACAGCTGCAACACCTGGCACCGCATGAAGTTTCAGGGTGAGCAGATTTTGTATTGCTTGTTTTCTTCATCCATGTTCCTCCCCCCACCTTCCTCCTCCACTCCATCCTTTTGTGCTGCGCTTACTTTTGTATTCAGTTATCATTTGTAAAAATAATCTGTTTTCAGGAGAGAAAAAAACAATTAATGTCAAGATTCATTTGTCGGGGGAAATTTTCAATAAAATGATGTCTGGGACAAAAATGGTTTCCTGTCAAGGACATGTGGATGTGAGAATATTTGAAGGGTTTTTTGTGGGTGGTTGACGGGTGCTCTGGTGTGGTTTGCCCCTTCTTTCCTATCAAATCTATCGTCTTGATTTCTCCTCCTCCTTTTTTATGTTTGTTACTCTCTTGTGACACCTCAAATCTTCAACACTTATATGACGTAATTGTGTTGCAAGTGCCGTAAAACTCTTTACTAAAACCGTAGGGTTTTGCTGCCTAATATGATTCATCAGAAAAGCAAGGGATAAAATTTGTTGAAATAAGATGTTTTCCCAGATTATGATACTGCCCTTGCAACCTGCGATTGGTACTTTTTGTCTTTTGATGCAAAAGAACTAATTTTCATCAGATCACCTAGTTTTACGCACACTTCTGTTTGTGATTCATATGGGTTATGGAAGGTTCCGCTGGTAGATTCTTCTTCTTTTTGTTCCCTCTGTCGTCTGTCTGTCCGTCTTACTTTTTCCCTACACTAAATGACAGTTATACAATTGTTTCAGTGTGCTTCTTTGTCCTCGAATGAGGAGCAAAGTGTTTTGTGGAGTTGTGCAGTGAAACCTTCCACGTATTATTACATTGTATGTTGCTACCTTTGAACTACAAAGTTCTATCTCAGTGGATGGTTGGCTGGTGCTCTGGTGTGGTTTGCTTCTTCTTTCCTATCAAACATCTATCGTCTTTATCTCCCCTCCTTCTTATTTTGTGATTGTTACTCTCTTGTAACATCTCTAATCTTCTGGCGCTCATATGACCTTATGCAGTTGCGAGCGTCGTAAAACCTCTACTAAAACAAACAAACAAATCTAATCTTCGGCACTTATATGACCTTATTGTGCTGCAAGTGCCATAAAACTGTTACTAAAATTTTTTTAAATAAAAAAAGTTTTATCTGACATTTTTGGCCGTTTTGAGTTACTAAGACCATGAGGTCAGATGCCAAATGTTCTATCTGCTCCATCAAAATTGTAAGATTATTAGGAGTGGTTATCAAAATATTCATAGAATTGCACTACAAAAAGCATGACATGTTGGGAAACTCAAAATTTTTTGTTGTTCTCAAAACCACTGAGCAGATAGAACTGTGTAATTCTAGGGTAGCGATATGCCGGCAGGCGAGGAGAAAGGCGAGTGAATAGAAGTTGAGATATTTGCGATTGAAGAAGGTGGGGTAGCCTGGTTTCAGTGTTTAAATTAATGAGAAAATGGCGGCCAAAGTTTGGTAACTTCAATAGCTTTAGAGTCCTTGAAAACTGAAAATAACATATATGCTGTGCCTTTTAACAAGGTTTTTCAGTACAATTCACATGGAAATGTTTATTCATATGAACATAAAAGGTGTTTGACCAAATAACAAATTTTCCCAAAAAATTGCCGAACTGATGGAAAAATGCCCTTTTCTTCGATTTCATTATTTTGACGAGCGCCTGATTTCACCACAATGCCTCACATTTAATTTTACTCTTCCCATCTGTCTGTTTGTAGATTTGGAGCTGGAGCAGAAGACGACGGCTGTGGTGGGCCTGAACGCCGTGAGCTTCGCCAGTGCCGTGTACATCTTTGGCGGGTTTGCCGGCGTGGCGCTGGGAACGCTGTCTCGGCTGACGCTGCCCTCGGATGTCTGCTCGCTCATCACGGACCCGCTGGTGTGCAGCAACATCATGGGCTGCCAGCTGTGCGTCATGACGCTCGACACCTCGGAGAACGTCACCGTCTGCTACGACGCCAACGCCAGTATCAGCGCTCGCCCGCGAGGGTAAGAGGCTTTTTTCTTCTTTTTTTTCTTCTTTTTTTCCCCTTTTTTTTCTTTTCTTTTGTTCTTTTCGTTTTTCTTTATTTCTTTTTTTTCCCCCTTTTTTCTTTCTTTTCTGTTTTTCTTCTTTTCTTCTGGTTTTCCTTTTTTTCTTTTTTTTAAGGTTTGTTTTGTTTTGTTTTCTTCTTATTTTTCTTTTTTTTTTTGTTTGTTTTGTTTTGTGATCGTGTATCCTGGTTTTGGCGCCGATATTTGTAGGTTACATAAAAGTGTGCCAACATGTTGCAAATTGTTCTGCTTCAAGTAAGAACAAAAGGGGAATTGTTTTGTCTATGATGATGATGATGATGAGAGAATTCCCCTTGTCATGGCACAAGCTAGATCACTGGAACAAGTGTAAAGATAAAATGCTTTGATACTCTTGCTAGACTAGCGTCTGTTTCTTTATAACTCTGAGAGCGTCACTGTCTGCTACGACGCATATGCCAGTATCAGCGCTGACCGTGAGCGTAAAAGGCTTTTTTTTTCTTCTTTTTTTCTTTTTTTTTTTCTAGGCTTTTTTAAAAACATTTTTACTTCATTTTTTTGGTTCTTTTCTTTTTTCTTTTTTTCATTTTTCTTTTTTTTCTTTTTTTCTTTTTTCTTCTTTTTTTCCCCTTTTTTCTTTTTTTGGGGGGTTTGTTTTGTTTTGTGATGGTGTGTCCTGATTTTGGTGCTGCTATTTGTAGGTTTTACGTAAAAATGTACCAAACATGGTGCAAATTGTTATGCTTCAAGCTAAAACAAAACAAGAAAAAGGGAAATTGTTTAGTCTGTGATGATGATGGTGATGATGCTGCTGCTGATGATGATGATGATGATAATGGTGATGATGATGATGATGATGGTGATGATGATGATGATGATGATAATGGTGATGATGATGATGATGATGATGATGATGATGATA